GGGATCCACAGTCTCTTGTTTGATTACAGTCTGACTGTGAAACAAGGCGTATTAAAAGAATTATTACTCAGACATCACAATGGTCCCCCATCACTCTCTGACACACGCCTTTGAGGAGATTTATTTCACACAGGCGTGATTATTGTGTCTATGGGAGTCTGTGTTTCTCTAATCTGCGGGTTTGCATGGATTTCTGCGTTTTGCAGCTCCCGTGCACACGTGGCCGCTCGGGCGCGCTCGTGCACGTGCATGTGACCGCCCCAAAATAGATACCCTCTCCTGTGCACAGCGTTGCATATCAGTCTGCCTGGCACACTTTGAGTTAATGCTTGAAATTTGAGGCACGTACGGTTCAGAAAGCTGCAAGGAGAAAAAAAAAGAAAGCAGTCTGGCAGCTGCTAAGTCTGTTCTCCATACATTTTGTGTGTGAGAGTGTATATGAATGTGTAAATGTATGTCTCTGCTTCCTTCAAAGTGTGTGTGTGTTGCCTCCAGTGCTGCTGTGTGAAACAGAAACACTGGAGACAACAGAAAATAACATAATCCAACTATTAGGTTCCCTAAGACATAGATGTGTACTGTACACACCTCACAAGGACATGACTCATGGGAAATTATATGAATTTTCACTCGCCTTTCTTAATATTTACTGCTGATACACAAGCAATCATACGCCGCGTTCCCTCCACAGCTACAAACGCGGCGTAGAGTGAAAGATGTGTAATCCAGTTTCCTTTGTGTATTATTGTTATTATTGGTAGATATCAAAATGCATCACAAACATATTATAAATCATCACGCTGCTTCGTACTCAAGAACAGCTCCATTTCCATATGAACTTCGATGCAAGGCGGGAACCGGAGACGACGAGCGGCGTGCGCGTCGGAAACGGGGACGCATCGGCAGTATTAGCACAGAGAATTATTTACAGTTTTTCTCACACTTCGGCGCCTTATTTCAATTAGCCTGCGCTCAGTGTCGGGTCGTTCGTTGGTCCCCTTCCCAAAAGCCCATCACGGGTCGCTATTGATGGCAGAAACAGGCCTGGATCTGTTTTGTGGTTTCACGGGCTCGTTAACTTTCCCCTTTCATGGGCGTGTGATCACCACGAGCCTTTCACTGCAGCACAAAAAGGTTGTTTTTTTTTCCCCGCTCTCAAAAACGGTACAGTAGGTACAAGCGGTACAGTAAATCTCTTAAGCAGCTTCACTTCCCATCATGTGATTATTCCATGACAAAGCAGGGGATAGAGGAGGTGATAAGTGACATCCAATAATTATTTTAGCTTTTAATGTGGCAAATTAGCTGAAACGAACGCCAAACCACTTTCCCTTCCCTCACAAGATAAACAGCAGCTGATAATGTGTATGAAACATTACCCTGATGAACAACCATGCGGTGCCTACTGAAAGTGAAGCCATTAAACATAATATAAAAGACACACACGCTGTCGCTTTTCATTTGTCACCTCGCCGTGAATCCTGGTAAAGTCTCATCTGGCTTCTGTGTGTGTGTGTTGCGTCGATGCATATGCTTTGCACTGGCTCAAAACTTGACATGCTCCTCTCCTCCATTCCCATCTTATTGTCTGTCATCAATGCGAGGCCTGTAACCCCTGTGGTAATAAACGAACCACCAGGATACATTCAAGTGCAACAACGTGTGGGTGTTGAATCGCACAAAGAGGTTATGAATAAGTCTGCCCTGACTAGCGGCAGTGCTTTGGAGAATATCACTCTGTGCGCTCTCACTGTATGACAGCTAATTGAAGCTTCCCCTTGGGCTGAGTGCAGCACAGACATAATCATCAAGGATCCTGTCCTGGATTCGATATATAGCCCGAACGTGGGATTTGCTTCTTTTGTCGTAATCAAAGGAACGTCGCACGGGGAAAGTTCAGGAGTGTCAAGGCATGTGTTGCCACAATGGAAAACAGAAGTATTTGCTTAATGTGATGAATCTGAAAAGGTCTGGAAAGGCCTGCTGCAGCACCGCCAACAGATCGATAGCCATCCCTCACTCGGCTCTGCTAGCTCTGCTTATAAAACCCGTCCTTAGACATCTCTGTGAACTACCTGAGAAGAGTGTCCATTTGAATGCCTTTGGGTTAATTCCTCCCAGCGTTCATTGGATTAAATGAAACCAGTCTGTGGCATAACTGTAATGAGATTATTGTGTTTCTGGTGGGATTACGGGATGACATGTACACGGGAGCAGCAGTGGTCAGAGGGGCTGCATTGTTTACGCACGGATCTCTGTGGGAAGTGTAGCCTACATCCACATTAGCCTCGTTTTCACACTGGAAAGCGGATTAGTTTGCATCATAAACATGACACGAAACCTCCGAACTGGATTAATTGAGCCATTTTAAATAATGTGTTTTCTTCCCAGCACTGCTCATTAACGAAGCTGTGATGGCGTCCAATCAGAGCGGCGAAGGTTTTATTGTTTTTTTTGTAGCTAACTGATTCTTTGGTTTTTTTCAATCCACCCCGCAGCCCTTTCCGTGAGCCACAGGGTAGTCCCTCTCAAATGGAAACCCCTCATCTACATCAACAAGAGTCCAACATTAATTATGTTCCCAGCTTTGCTGTTGACAGCAGGCACCATCAGAGAGTAAAAAGATTGCGGGCGTTTTAACTAGCGCGTAAACCCCAACATCACAGCAATTTCTTTTTGTTTTTGCATGTAGTCCTGTTGAACGAGAGCATAGACAAGATACAGTTGTTAGTTGACATGCAAAAGGAATGTGCTCGGATTACAGCAGATGCCTCTTTGATTTATTGGCTGTAGTGGTGAGCCCTTTATCTCGAATCACGCTGCCGAACAGCAATTCATTTTCATTTTATTTCTGTCTGGATCCTAAACCTCCCACCCACAGAGACTGGGATTTTTAGCCTTATCATCTTTCATACTTTGGAAATGAGAAACCCATAAAGAGGCCCCACAGTTTCTTGGGAGTCTTGTGGAAGTTTGCCAAGCAACTCTGACCGAGACATTTATGAAGAAACGACGATAATCGTGTTAACACTGCGTTGACACACATTCGTTTCCGAGCCGCAGCATTGATTGCCACAGCTTGTAAAGTCAACGAGGAATTTGCAAAACTTGCTTTCACGTCTGGTTCTTCTCAGCGAGTCTTAAAAAAGAGAAAGAAAGAAAATAAAAGGATATTGGTGCAGAATAGAGACAAACATTTTCTCCCAGCCAGCTAAATGCTGGTGCTGAAAGGACACTAAGCACAGGTTGTCTCTCAACTGCTGTGACAGGCTGTGCAGCCAAGAATTTCACTGTGTTGAGTAAAAGGATACAGGTAGGGGAGAAGAGACGAGAGAAGGGGGGGATGCTGAGGCGAAGCCAGCCGACCAGCCGGCCAAATCTGCCTTCAGCTCAGTGTCAAAACAGCCAGTCAGCTGTGTACACCTTCATGTCACCTGTGTGTTTGTGTGCATGCGTCCTATAGCCTCCCTCAACAGGAGGGAGCGCAGAGAGTCGTCTCCTCTGGTCAATAGAGCCTAATTCTCCACAGGTGGCAGCCAGCCTCAAAGACGATTCCCTTCAGCTCCACTGTGTGGAAGCTTCTGATCCACACGATGGGGCCTTTGGTGGTGGAAGAATTGGTGTGTGATGGTTGAGTCAGATAAGAGGCGATAGATATGGAGATGTCATTGCCAGGGGTTCACCAGAACGCCGAATACGTCTTCCTATTGACCCCACTCTTATTGAATTTCCCCATCATCGCCTCTGTTTCTCCGCTTCTCTCGCCTCACCCCTTCCACCTCAGATTATCTCCTTCTTCTCACTTTCTGCCTCGTCTCTACCTTCACCTGTTATTTCACAAGGTGTTGCAGCACCGACAGCAACCGTGCTGAACAGTGTAACAGCACCTCTCCTCGTTTCCTGCATGCTCTATAGGCAGCCTAATGGAGGAAATCAAAGTACTCAAACGCGATTAGATCGTTCAGAGCTCCTTCTGATTGGTTCGCCTTTTTTCTGCTAAATTCAACCAACAAATATTTTTATTTCCGAGGTGGTTGTTCTGCTTTCTTTTTGCACTTGCAGATTTATATCAAAGAGTCAGTGTTTATCAACATTGCATCTATAAAGCTCCCTTATGTTCAACTTTTATGAAATGTAATTACAGCGTTACTCTCGCTCCTCCGGTGTATCACATGAAAAATGTCTTCATAGTTTTTCCTCAGTGGCTCATGTTAAATGTAAGGACTGCACTATTTTTCTCCTTCCCCGGGACTGAAACATATTGTTTTTGCCCGGGGCATTGGAAGAGTTACTGCACACCTGTTTTATCAGAGTATGAGTTGTAGGGAGAAACAACTGTAAAATGAATGTTCTGGCTCCGTGGCTGCACATACAGGTTCCGTGTTGCTCTAGTGAAATTTAATCAGCCATGCCACAAAATCTTCCAGGCAAGAATGATTGCCAGGCAGGAGGATGTTACTGTAATTATTGTCTTGTTCGCTTCAGACTGAGTGCCTTGGATAAGCCATAGTCAACGGGAAAGCAAATACGCTTGTTGCACAAAGCACTTAGTGGCAATTTACACAACAGGGTACTTGGATGTATAAGCATTACAGCGTCGAACGTGTTGAGGAAAAAAATGGGATTGTTGCTTACAGGGGGCGCCGTTACGGTTTAGTTGTACATGAAGACTTCTGCCCACCAGAAGGTCAAGCTTTGAAAAGCTGCCAGGTTGAATATTCTTAGCAAATCCTCGGTATTATGTGTTTCGCGCAACAGGGGTGCCGCGCTAATGAGCTGACCTCACACAGCAACCGCAGGTCAACTTACCATTTGGTTATTATTTTTATTCGCAGCACTGCATTGTGTTTTCGGAGGCTGAGAAACGCTAAATGTATCCCAGTGAGATCCAGCCTCGTCGTGTTCTCCTCCAGATCACGCAGCGCAGATCACGCAGCGCAGATCACGCAGCGGCGCTCCACCCAAATATTGACTTCTGCTTTTTCTCTCCCGTTGCACAGCGCCGCCGTTTTCAGAAGTCACCACGACTCCGCCTACGAAAACGACAACCGCCACGACAACAACCACAGTGCACTGGGGTGTGGACAACAATACCACCACAACAGGGTACAAGGAGCGCAGCAGGGGAGCGCCCAGGCCACGTCCTGTAATCCCACAGACTCCTTCCCCGCCGCCCCTGGAGTCCTTCCCTTTACCTGAACGCTTCTGCAAGGCAATTGAGAAAAGAGACATAATGTGGCCTCAGACCCAGAGGGGCATGCTTGTTGAGCGACCTTGTCCCAAGGGAACACGAGGTAAACAGGGCCGTCTTTGCTTCTCGCTCTCTCGTCTCAGGGCCGACTGCTCGCTGCGTTCAATATGACCCGACGGCTCTCGAGATATTCCTTTCTTTTCTCTAATTATAAAAGTTTTAGCTTAAAGGAATCAGCAGTGGCCGTGTTAACGTGAGCAGCCTCTGACTGACTGAGGCTCAGCTGTTTGTGTGTTCCTCATTTGATTGTATATGCTCTCGTGTCACTTTGTAGCAATAACAGGCTCACAGAATTAGTTTTCTGCACATTGTCTCGATAGACAAACTAAAAAGAAACATCTGCTCAGGCTTATGTTGTCATGTGCACAAAAGATGTTTTGGATTCATATATGTTCTACATATAAATACTCAATTTGCATGATTGTGTTGCTCGTGTGCAATTTCTTCCTTTGATCTCTGTTTCTGCCTTTGTTGTTCAGCGAGCAGCCTCATGAAAAATACGTATTTGATTTGAGTTGATTCAACTTGACTGTTCTCTTCTTGTTTGTTTTCTTGGGTTTTTGTCTGTCAGGCACAGCATCTTATTTATGTGTCCTTTCCACCGGGGACTGGCACCCAAAGGGCCCTGATCTCAGCAACTGCACCTCCCACTGGGTCAACCAAGTAGCCCAGAAGGTTAGTATGAGCTCTGCCTCGCTGTTTTCCATCTAAGTGTTTTTCTTAAGATAAGGAGTAGACAAAGATAATGTGTTCCTGTAAAGGACTTCAATTGCAAAAGTAAATTATTCTCTGGAAAAAAATATATAAACATGGCAGCAAATCTGGGTCAGATTAACCCTTTAAGACCTACCATAGAACCAAGTCCGCCAGAGCTTATATTATATGTTTACATGCTGTGGAGCCGTTTTTGGGAGCATTTCAA